GCCGGCGTTTCTCAGCAATCTCGGCATCATTGAACGCGAAAATCACGATTATTTCGCGGCTAATGTTAATAAACAATGTCACTTGAATTTCAGATAAAATATTATATGGCAAGATGCCGGGAAAACCCTATTATCTCGATGGAAAGAGTGAAAATTCGAAGATGTGGGGCTAAAATTTCAGGTTTCGCTATTTTGCCAAGTTTGCGACTTTCTTCCGGAAGCTACCATCTTTCTACCCTCTATACCTTGGTCATCTATTTTTCCGAAAGTAGTCTTGTTTTATTTTTTCCAACACATCGTTTGTCGGATCTGATCTGGTCAGAGGAAAGTCTCTTATTATTTGGGATATAACGGCTTTATGATTGAAAGAGAAAAAACTTAAAAGAAAAAATTGGTAAAGTATAGAATTAATCTGTATATATAAGAGAATATGTATATTCAAATATTTAGAGAAGCGATATTCAACTAATTTAGTTTTCTCTTATTGGTTATTTATTGTAATTGTTATTTAATGTAATGTACAAGAGAAAGTGAGAAAAAGAGAGAAATAGGAAGAAATGTAATGTACATATTTTAAGATCTCACAATTTTATCGTTAAATCAATTACATGATTGTGATTATTATTGCGAGTAACATCTGCGCACAATACTCACGTCTCAGGTGATATATTTCCCAAGGGAAACGATAACCCGAAAGACCATTATCTCGTTGGAAAGCGTGAAAATTCGAAAGCAGAAATCGAGATGAGTTTCGGACTTTCGCCGAGCTTGCGGTTCCGCGTTTGCCATAGTTCTCCTCGTTTTTCCCATGCTTTCGCTCTTCGTCCCTCTTTCATGATGTCTGCGGGCGCGCCGAATTTAACAATTTAAGGAAAGAAGCGCCCGGGAAAGAGAGACTGATTTTGAGAGATTTCCCGAAGTTGGAGAAGCTTAAAGCTCCGCAGGCGGGAAATGCTGATTCGGAATTCTCTCTCGACGGGGACACGAACGCGGCGGGGCGATGCGGTTAGAAGTTTTCGAGATTGTTTGCCGTGCTAGCCGGAATATAAATCGGGCTTAACTCGTCCGTTCCCTTTTCGTACGGTTAGGCAAATGTGGCTTTTACGAGCGCCGGCAAGAAAACGAACATTTTTAATTCACTTGGCTTTTCATCTCTCCGCAGCGCGTTGCTTGAATTTGAGGGAAAGAAGAAACCGTACACCATTGATATCGTTCATGGAGCACTACCTTATATTACTTTCATATATTAATTTACATTACTTTATATAATATATGTTAACTTTTTGAGATTTTAACTTAAAAGCCAAGAGATATATATATATATATATATATACATATTACTATGTA